GGCTGTGATGACAGATGCTTTCCTGCTTCCTTCGGTGATGGTGGCAGGGAGGGGCTGGAAGGGAAGGGCTTCCCAGGTGGATGGCTTTGATAACCCTCCTTTAGGAGGAAGTGGAGGGAGGAAGTCCTTTTCCTCTGTCCCCGCTCACCTCGGTCCCCAGGCCCCCAGATCCCTGAAGGGTGGCTGACCCAGGCTGTTTCATTTCCCCACTGTGGGTTGACAGCAGCTCCTGACTCCCTTGGAAGTTGGCCAAGCAGTGTGGACTAGAGAATCCCACTGTGAACCCTGGGCCCCCCTCCTGGCAAAAGGCAACCTCTGGCGAGCTGGAGTTAAAAGGAAGGGGCACCATGGCGGGTGACCAAGACATGGGGACAAGGGGGGCCTAGCTATCTAGATAAGACTTCCAGATCTGTCTCTAGGGGCCAGCATGAGCTGCCAGTGGGTCCTTAGGGAACCTGGCGGGGGAGGGGGGGCATTTAGCACATCTGCCTTTTCTTGGCCACAAGCAGTTGAACACATAGGGTAAGTAAGAGGGTCTGTCAAGGCCTAAGGCATGAATGCTGGGCCCCTTCCATACGAGTGTGGTCAGTCACTTCAGTTGCACTGAAGTGCAAGCACTTCAGTCTAACTCTGCACGACCTCATGGACTGTAGCCCGCCAGCCTCCTCTGTCCATGGGATTTTCCAGGCAAGAATACTGGAGTGGATTGCCGTGCCCTCCTCCAAGGATCTTCCTGACCCAGAGACCCAACCCCTATCTCCTGCACTGGCAGGCGAATTCTGTACCATCTGAGCCACCAGGGAAACCCTCATTTTATCATTTTAAAGTATGAATCACCAGCAAATAGTCATGCAGGAAACTTTATCCCCTGCCCACCCACCCACGGAAAAGGCGAGCACTGGAAAGGAACAGAATCTAGCAGGAAATGAGCAAGGTAGAAAAGGGGAGCTGGCAAGGAGCGTTTGAAAGGGAAGGGCTCTGTGATGAGGAACCAAGAAGCCCGCCTTGAGCTACAGAAGACGTCCCTGCCAGTGAAACCAAATCTCCCTTCTTTCCACTGGGGCCAGTCTTGCAGTTGGGGCCAGGAGCTCAGGTCTTGGCCTGGTAACCCTCACACCTAAAGGTGAGGAAAGACAGCAGGAAACGAAGTGTCTGGCCTAAAAGTTGTCAGGCTATCCCATAACTTAGTGGAAAGATGGGATCAGGAGTCTTAAGGCCTGATTTAACATTCTGCCCTTGCTCGTTATCAGTGTGACTTTGGGCAGGCTATGCCTTTCTGACACCCGTCTGATCTATAAAATGAGAGAAGCATTTGTAAAGGGCAGTCGTGAGGGCAGAGAGAAGGCAGGTTGCAGAGTCTGGAGCGCAGACCCAAGTGTGAGGGCGCCCGCCTGCGGGTTTACCTGCCCTGAAATCAAGGAAGCAGGGTCTAACTGGGACTAGGGGGTCGCACATCTTCTCCCACCCTGTCACCTGGAACAGGGCCTTCCCTGCCCACCCCTGCTGATTCACTGGCTTACCCCCTATCTCCATTATCTCCAAGGCCTCAGTTTTTTGGGTTTTTTTTTCTTTTTTTCTGGTGCAAAGGAGCTGGGAAATGTGGCTCTGGCCAGTGCAGGAGAAGGGGCCTTTATGTATACCAGCAAAGACCCAATTGTTACTGAATCCAAACTGGGCTGCTTTTCCCAATTATCTCCACTACTCTTCTGGTCTCCACTTTTTCTGATGCCAAGTTTTAACCCAGAACAAAAGCTCCTGTCAGGACTGATTTATAATCCAGATCTGCTGACAAGGCCCTAAAGGGTCCCTCCCCTCCAGGGCTGCACCATGCTTAAAGTTACCACCCAAGCCACTGGGCCGCCAGTCTCTTCACCTCTGCCCTTTGCCCCTAGCCAGGAGGTGGCATCTGTCTCCAGGTCCCAGTGGGGTGGCCTCCCTGGGGTTCCTCTGTTCACCTGCCCAGCTCAGGACTAGCTGACAAGGACAGTCCAGCACCACCCAGGAGGCCAGAGCTACAGGGTACTTCTAGGAGCGGCTTGTGGGCGGAGGCTCGAGTCCTTCTCCAGCGTGGCTCCCCTCAGTCCCTTTCATCTGAACACCAGGGCTCATGTCACTTGTTATTCAGCCTTCTAGAGGCATCAGGAGTCATTTCCTGAGGGTAAGCTCAGCGCAACTGGAGTCGAGGGTTGTTTCACCCGGATCAGGACGAGGGGGTCGCTGAACGGGTCCCTTCTTCTGGAGCGTGAGAAACTAGAGGCACAAGGTCTCAGGAGATTTGGGGGAGGGGGGGGGTCGTCTTCCTGGCTGGTGAGGCCCGTCCGGTCTGATCGCAGGGGTCAGTGGGAGTTGAAGGAAGGAAACAGAATCGGGGGCCAAAAGACAGACCACTCTGGTGCTCCCCAAAGAGAAGCCTGGGATACTCTCCAGGAGGTGGCCTGCCCGCCTTCGTTTCAGTAACCATAGTGTGGGGAGCCTCTTAGACCCCTTCCCGAACCGGGCTGCCCAGCCCGCACGGTTGGCTTTGGGGGACACTTCGGAAAAACCGGGTGAGTCCGACACCCCCCCTGCTAGGGCCCGATGTCCCTCCCCCGCCCCACCTCCCGGCGCGGTGGCGCAGATCTCTGCTGCTGGGCCCGGGGCGGCCCGGCACCAGGAGGGGCGGGGGTCCGAGCCCCCAGGCCGGGAACAGGGAGGCGTGCGGGTCGCAGCCCCCTCCGGGGCGGGCCTGGCCTTCGCGTCCCGCCCCCGGCCTCCGACGACAGCCCCCACCCCGCCTGACGTCAGGGGGGAGGTGGCGGAGAGCCTCGGCAGCAGCGGAGAAAGAGCCGGCGCCCGCCGCGGTGGCGCGGGGAGCCCGAGCCCAGGAGCGCCGAGCCGAGCCGGGCCGAGGGGCGGTGGCAGGAGGGGCAGCGGAGCAGGGCGGGCGGGCGCGCGCGGGCGGGCAGGCGGCGGCGCGCGGGCAGAGGCGGACCGTGGTCGGAGCCGAACGCGAGGGCGGCGCCCAGAGATTCAAGCAGCGAAGAAGAGGTGAGTGAGGCCGGGGTTGCACGGAGCCGGAGCCAAGGGCTCTCCGGGGCCGCCGCTTTGTCCCCAGACTCGAGCAGGGGACGCCGCACGCGTGAGGGACAGGGTCTGGGGGCGCAGGGAGGGGCGGCGGCCGGGACAGCTGTCCGCCCGAGCGCCTCCCTGCGCCCCCCGCGGACTGCTTCGCGGGGCCTCGGGAGCGGGGCTAGCGGCGCCCGCAGCCCCAGGGTCCGGAGGCACGGACTGGCCAGGGGGAACGGGGCTCAGGGTGCGGGGGGTCCCTCGTACTGTCCGGTCCACGCCCGCGATCTTTTCCAGGCCCCCGAACTGCCCCCGGCTCCCCCACCCCCGACGGAAAGTTTGGGGCGGGCCTGGACGGAGGCCGATGTTATGAGATCGGATTTCCCTGCCGCGGCCCCCGGCCGCGCGCCCGCTCCGCTGGGGAGGCGGGCTGTCCTGGAAAGCCAGGCTCCGGAGCCGCGCCGCCCAGTCCCCGGCTGGAGCGCTAGCCCTGAAGCTGCTGGGGAGCCGTCCGCGGCCCGCCGCTCAGGGTGGGCAAGGGTGGGGGGCGCGCCGCCGGGACCCCGCACCCCTCTACACACCTCCACCCCCGGGGCTGCCCGTTTCCCCCGCCCTGGGAGGAGCAGTGCCGGCAGAGCCTCGGAGCGCGCTGCGGGGTCCGGCCTGGGCTTGGGGTAAGGAACCGAGGGAAGGCTGGGGGTGTGTTGTGGGGTGAGCGCATCCCCGCCCCCCCCCTCCCCCCGCCACCCTTCCCGCGCTGGGGAACTGGGCCGACAGGGGGCGTCCGTCGGTCGGGCTCCGCCACGCTCCCAGCGCCTCCGCTTTGTTTGCATTCAAATCCCCGGAGCTGGGGGAGGGGAGAATCGAGGGGAACCCGGGACGGGGTCCCGACTGGACCCTTTGCTTCGGGGTGAACAGATCCTCAGCTTCTGTGTCTCTGTGCCCTGGAGGGCCGGGACAGTGGAAATTAATCCAGACGGCCTGCCCCGGCCGGGGTCCCGGCGCGATCCCTGAGTTGGGAAGGCTCATCAGACCCCGGGAGAGCGCAGCAGGCGCTGGCCCTGCTCCGGGCGCCCTCGCGGTCCAGGAGGGAACCCCCGACGCTCCCCACCAAGCCCTCACTTTCCCCCGCCCCCGCCTGAAAGCGCCGCCGGGAAGATCCCTGATGAGCCCAGAGATTTGTCCCGCGGCCCCTCAGCCCGAGGGCTGGTGTCTCCTAGGAGGCTGTGCGTGGAACAGAATGAAGCCCGGGTCCTTTACACGCCCATCCCATTCCACTTCCTGCCTGCCTTCTTGGGCAACAAAGGGACTCGGGAAGCAGGGGGCCCCTCCGGCTCCCGGCCCCACTTCAGCCCTGATATGGAATGGGGTTTTGGGCTCTGCCCGGCTATTGTCTGCGCTGGGGGAGGGGAGAGGCTGGACCGCGACCCCCGCAGGCCTGATGCACCGAGTCCTCCCTGGGGGGCTTCTCCTACCGCCTGCCCCACTTACAGGTTCATCCCCTTTGGGCTGGCTGGAGCCCCAGCAGGGCCAGGTCCTGATCGCATAGGTTATTTTAAGAAATCCTTCGAATCTGTCAGGCCCGAGTAGGGGAGGAGGGTCCTCTCTTTATTTTCTTAAACAACTTCCTGTCGAGAAGTGGGGGAGGGCCGGAGGATCTTTGAGTGTCCACTCTTCCAGCTGACTCAGCTCTCTCCGTCCCCTCAGGGAGACCCCTTGGTCCTTTGGAAGCTGTGGGGAAGAGGCCAGGTGTGGGAGGGGACTAGGTCGCTGCTCCCAGGGCTGGGGCAGTGGAGGGAGCCCCGGGGAGGCCTGGTCAGATCTTCTGTCCTCTGTGCCTCCTGGCCGGGCTTGTGTGGGCCCCCTTCCAGTCTGTTTTCTCTGGATGTGACTCTGACCCTTTCTTTTCCCCCAGCAGGGCAGCTGGCCTGGAGCTCAGAGCTGGGGCGTGTGCCATGGCCCCACACTGGGCCGTCTGGCTGCTGGTAGTGGAGCTGTGGGGCCTGGGCCTTGGGGCTGAGGTGTGGTGGAACCTGGTACCCCGGAAGACGGTATCTTCTGGGGGTGAGTGTCTGAAGGCTGGGGAGCAGGCGGCCAGGAGGGACTGCTGGGGGAAGAGGGGTGCTAAGGAATTGCCTTCTGGAACGTCTGGCTTTATTCTGCAGTTGGGCGCAAGGCCCTGATGTATGTGACACAGCTTTCTAAGAAATGTGAGTGAGTGGCTCTAGGAACCCAGAACTGGTCGTCCAGGCCAGGATCTGGGGTGGCCCTCCTTACGCTTAGGACCTGGCTGCCTTGTTATCCAAGAGTGACCATTCTGCACCTGTCTCCCTACATCTCACTTCTGGAATTATCCCTAGCACTGAGAGCCTAAAGAGGGAAACCTGAGCCAAGATAAACACGAAGCAAAAGGTGTTACTACCCACTCCCAGTCTTCAAGCTCTGTGCCCCCAGGAGCCCCCTTAGCAACCCGGATATGATAGACTCCCCCTCCTGCTGACCTGATCCTCTGACGCCCTGGACGGGGTGTGTGTGCACACACTCCTGTGGGAGGGCGCAATGGGCCTGACAGCCCTCTGTGCACACACTCCTGTATGCAGAGGTGATGTCAGGTGTTTGCGTCGTGCGCTCTGGGGACCCGGGATGAGCTCACCTCCCACAGGCTCCTCTCAGTACTAACGAAGCCCTCCCTTGCTGGTCTGTATCTGGGCCCATCGTTGGCTCCAAACACTAAGGATGGTTTAGGGGGACCCTGAGGACAGTCCAGCAGCTATTTTGGGGGTTGACATAGGAATCCTGTGGCTACATGAATGTCGTGGCCCCCTGCTCGACGGATGGCAACAGGTCTCCCCAGCCCCAAGGCTGTGGCACCATCTCTGGCCCCCAGCCTCTGCTTTCCCCCGCCCTCCCTGCCCTGGTCTCCCAGCCTGATTCCGTCTCCACATCCCATGGCCGGCTCTGCTTGTACCCCTAGCAGCCTGCATTTGGGACCCACTGGAGGGAAGGGTTCTCTCAGACAAGGAACGCTCGCAACTTCCGTCCATCCTGCCTGGCTGGATCAGGGGCCAGGGCAAGGCTGGACCCTGGTGGGGGCAGTGTGCAACAGAGCAGAGAAGGAAGCCGCAGCGGAGGAAGCGGGGGTGGGGGGGGGGGGTGGGGCGGCGGGATGGGGAGGTGGCGACTGACCCTGAGAGTGAGAGCCATCAGTCTGATGGTTTCCTCTGGCCGGAAGCTGTGGCTGAGATATCCTTCCTTCTTCCTCTCCAGCCCAGATTTGCCTCCCTGGGTGGGGAAAGCCAGGGAGGCCTGGGCGGAGCTGTCAGAGTCAAAAGCCTATTCAGAAAATGCCCTTTATTGCTGGTCAGAGGAGCTTGGCTGGCATCTGCTTGTGGGGTGCTGGCTCTAATGTGCAGTGACTACTGCATAGAAGAGGGCTAATTCTAGGGGAGAGGGCATGCCTGGAGTCCCAGGAAGGTCCACTTACCCCAGCCCTGGTCACTCCTGCCTTGTCCCTGCAGAGCTAGCCACGGTGGTGCGGCGCTTCTCCCAGACAGGCATCCAGGACTTCCTGACCCTGACCCTGACCGAGCAGACAGGGCTCCTGTATGTTGGGGCCCGGGAGGCCCTGTTTGCCTTCAGCGTGGAGGCTCTGGAGCTGCAAGGAGTGGTGAGAGGTGGGGGAGCGGGAGGCACATGGGGGAGAGAGGCAGGACCTGGGGGCTTCGCTTGGACAGGCTGTCCCCTCAGCTTGGCCACCCCCACCCCATTCTCCCTGGTGAGCATGTCGCTTCGCCCGAGAGTCTGCAGTACTCGCTGGGACCGCTGCGCTGGGGTAGCTGGGGCTCTGGTCCTCTCTGGAATAAGCCCAGAGAGTGGGGACACTGTCTTCTCACTTGGTGTCCCCATGTTGCTGCCACGAGCCGCACTGATGACACATGCTTGGTGCGTACCTGCAGCAATGCTGACGCGTTCCCTCCCTATCCTCAGATCTCATGGGAGGCGCCAGCTGAGAAGAAGGCTGAGTGTATCCAGAAAGGGAAGAGTAACCAGGTCGGCTCTCTGGGACCTGCTGGGGGCCGGGGGGTGCATGGGGCATGCTCTTTCCCCTCCGTCCCGGTGCTGGTCTGGGTCCCAGGGTCCCTGTGTTCCGGATACTCAGACTTTAACAGATGCCTCTCTGTCCCCAGACGGAGTGTTTCAACTTCATCCGCTTCCTACAGCCATATAACACATCCCACCTGTACACGTGCGGTACCTATGCCTTCCAGCCCAAGTGCACCTACATTGTGAGTGCAGCTCCTCTCCCCAGCCCCAGGCCTGGCCCTGTTGCATTCTCATGGCCTTGTCCCCACCCCTAGGACATGCTCACCTTCACCCTGGAGCGGAGCGAGTTTGAGGATGGCAAGGGCAAGTGCCCCTATGACCCGGCCAAGGGCCACACCGGCCTCCTTGTGGGTGAGTGGCTGTCTCATTGCAGGTTGGGGGTCCCTAGGACTTGTTCCCACTCTGGGACCACCTGGCTTGAGTGTCTGCACCTCGCTTCTGCATGGGCTGACCCCATGTCTCTTGTAGACGGTGAGCTGTACTCGGCCACACTCAACAATTTCCTGGGCACAGAGCCAGTCATCCTGCGGAACATGGGACCCCATCACGCCATGAAGACGGAGTACCTGGCCTTCTGGCTCAACGGTGAGCCCTGAGAAGCCAGCTGGGTGTGGGAGGTGCCTGGAGGGCCCGATGTCTGGGCTGACCCTCCTCCCCTTCGCCCCCAGAACCTCATTTTGTGGGCTCCGCCTACGTCCCGGAGAGCGTGGGCAGCTACACGGGGGACGACGACAAGGTGTACTTCTTCTTCAGCGAGCGCGCGGTGGAATACGACTGCTATGCTGAGCAGGTGGTGGCCCGCGTGGCCCGCGTCTGCAAGGTACAGACCGCCGAGGCGGGCAGCCCTGGGTGCCTGGCCGCCCGGCGGGGCTGACCGGCCGCACTGTCCCCATGCCGTTTGCCAGGGCGACGTGGGGGGCGCGCGGACGCTGCAGAGGAAGTGGACCACGTTTCTGAAGGCGCGGCTGGTGTGCTCTGCGCCCGACTGGCAGCTCTACTTCAACCGGCTGCAGGCGCTGCACACGCTGCAGGACGCCTCCTGGCACAACACCACCTTCTTCGGGGTTTTCCGGGCGCGGTGGTGAGCTGACCAGGAGCCCACGGGGGTGGGGGGGAGCAGGTCCATGGGCTAGGGATGGTTGAAGGGGCAGGCCTCTGGGGGAGGTCCTGAGGGTCAAGGAGGGTGTTGGGCTCCTGCCCTTTCCACCACCCCTCCGTGAGCGGTGCCCCCAGGGGCACTTTGAGCTGCCACCACACCACGTGTGGCCATGGCCTTCTGGTGTTTGGGCCCTCCCTTTCTGCTGCACGCCCTGAGCTGTGGGCATCCCAGCTCTGACCCTTGGGGTCCCTCCCTTGCTGTGACAGGGGCGACATGGACCTGTCAGCAGTCTGCGAGTACCAGCTGGAGGAGATCCAGAAGGTGTTCGAGGGGCCCTACAAGGAGTACCACGAGCAGGCCCAGAAGTGGGGCCGCTACACGGACCCTGTCCCGACCCCGCGGCCCGGCTCGGTGAGTCGTCCCAGGCAGGGATGCGTGTGCATGTTCTCTGCTCTGGTGCCTTCCCCTCTGGGCTGACAGCCGCCCCCAAAACCCTGCCCACCCCCCAGTGCATCAACAACTGGCACCGACGCCACGGCTACACCAGTTCCCTGGAGCTGCCCGACAACATCCTCAACTTCATCAAGAAGCACCCACTGATGGAGGAGCAGGTGAGGCCTCGATGGGGCCGCCCCCTGCTGGTGAAGAAGAATGCCAACCTCACCCACCTGGTGGCCGACCGGGTCTCGGGGCTTGACGGGGCCACCTACACGGTGCTGTTCATCGGCACAGGTGGGTACGGGCGTGGCAGCTTGGGGCTAGGCGAAGGCCTGCGTGCCCAGGCAGGGAGATCCAGAGACAGCCCCAGCCCAGGACCCTGCTGCCCTTTTCCTGACAGCTGTTCCCCCCTACCCCTACAGGAGACGGCTGGCTGCTCAAGGCCGTGAGCCTGGGGCCCTGGGTTCACCTGATCGAGGAGCTGCAGCTCTTTGACCAGGAGCCTGTGGAGAGCCTGGTCCTGTCCCGGAGCAAGGTAACCATCAGGCCCCACCCACTGTGTCCCCCCACGGACCCCAGTCGAGTGCTTGGCCAGTCCAGGGGCGGGGAGATGTCCGAGAGAGGAGCGAGAACGCTACTGGAATCTGCACTCTGCAGGCGTCCCATCTTCTATACAGCCCAGTCCTGACGGCGCTTGGCAGCTGTTTTCAGGCCCCTCGGGGGGACTGTGCTGCCGTCCGCCGGGCCTCGTGCCACTTTGGCTCCTGATGCCCTCGTGACGTCTCCTTGCCTGCCAGCCCCGACCCCCGGCGCAGCCAGCAGTTCCCTGAAGTGCTGCTCGAAGCTTCCCTTCCCCAGCCTCTCTGCCCGCGTGTCTGTGGCACTTTGGCCTGCTTGGCTTTTCCCAGTTCTGGAGGCTCAGGTTGTTCCCAGAATGGGGAGTCCTGGCAGAAGGAAAGCCTGTAGTTGCAGAAGCACACGGATTGGCGATCTCCATTGAAACAGAGGAAAACGCCTTACGCTTTGCTGATGCTATTGTAAGGCTGACGGGATCTGCGGAAACTGAACTTCCTGCGCTATTTATACTATTCGGGAGCCGTGTGTGTGTGTGTGTGTGTGTGAGAGAGAGACAGAGAGTGTATGTGTGTGTGTATTTGAGAGTGTGTGTGAGTGGGGGGGGACTGTGTGTGTGTGTGTATGAGGGTGAGTGGGTGTGAGTGGGTGAGTTTGTGTATGTGCTGTGTGTGAGTGTGAGAATGTGTGGACATGGGTGTGAGTGAGCAAGCACAAGGATGCTTCTCAGCCTCACAGGTCTGCTGTTCCTTTCTAACAAGGTCACGGCTGTAAGGGGCTTAGGATTGCTCCTGGCTTATAGTAAGCCCTCCATGCCTTCCCAGCCCTCAGACTTCCCGCTTTGGGACGTGCGCACAGCCCACTTCCTGCTTCGGGCCCCGGTGCCCGGCAGTCATCCAGGCCCCCGCCCCAGGCCGTGTCGGGCCCTGGCTCAGCCTCCCTCCTGTGCTTCTCTGGCAGAAGCTGCTCTTCGCGGGCTCCCGCTCCCAGCTGGTGCAGCTGCCCCCAGCCGACTGCATGAAGTACCGCTCCTGTGCTGACTGTGTGCTCGCCCGGGACCCCTACTGTGCCTGGAACGCCAACAGCAGCCGCTGCGTGGCCGTGGGCGGTCACTCCGGGTGAGGGGGGCTTCTGCGTGTGCGGGGACCAGCGGGGAGGGCAGGTGGCTGGAGCCGGGAAGCTGACGGATCCCTGTTTCCCCACCAGGTCCCTGCTGATCCAGCACGTGACGGTCTCGGATACCTCGAACATCTGTAATTTCCGGGGCAGTAAGAAAGGTGAGCTGTTGTCTTAGTCTTTCTTCCAGGGTGTACAGGTCTCAGGGGACCAGAACTGGGGTGTCTATGTCCCCCCCTCGGCCTGGGCTTCTTGCACCCCACTGACTCTCATTTTCTCTGCCGCTGCAGTCAGGCTCACACCCAAAAACATCACGGTGGTGGCGGGCACAGATCTGGTGTTGCCCTGCCGTCTCTCCTCCAACCTCGCCCACGCCCGCTGGACCTTCGGGGGCCGCGACCTGCCCGCGGAGCAGCCTGGCTCCTTCCTCTACGATGCCCGGCTGCAGGCCCTGGTGGTGATGGCTGCCCAACCCCGCCACGCGGGCGCCTACCACTGCTTCTCGGAGGAGCAAGGGGCCCGGCTGGCTGCCGAAGGCTACCTCGTGGCCGTGGTGGCAGGCCCATCGGTGACGCTGGAGGCCCGGGCCCCGCTGGAGAACCTGGGGCTGGTGTGGCTGGCTGTGGTGGCCCTGGGCGCCGTGTGCCTGGTGCTGCTGCTGCTGGTTCTGTCCCTGCGCCGGCGGCTGCGCGAGGAGCTGGAGAAAGGTGCCAAGGCGGCCGAGAGAACCCTGGTGTACCCGCTGGAGCTGCCCAAGGAGCCCACCAGCCCCCCCTTCCGTCCCGGCCCCGAGACGGACGAGAAGCTCTGGGACCCTGTGGGCTACTACTACTCAGACGGCTCCCTCAAGATCGTGCCTGGCCATGCCCGGTGCCAGCCCGGCGGTGGGCCCCCCTCGCCGCCCCCCGGCATCCCCGGCCAGCCCCTGCCTTCTCCGACGCGGCTCCACCTGGGAGGTGGCCGGAACTCCAACGCCAACGGCTACGTGCGTCTCCAGCTGGGAGGGGAGGACCGGGGCGGCCTCGGGCACCCTCTGCCCGAGCTCGCGGACGAACTGAGGCGTAAACTGCAGCAGCGCCAGCCACTGCCGGACTCCAACCCCGAGGAGTCCTCAGTATGAGAGGGGCCCCTCCGGCAGCAGCCTGGGAGGCATGGCTCCCTACATTTTTGCACAGGCACCAACTACCTCAGGGACATGGCGTGGGCAACCTGCTCTGCCCGGGACAGACCCTGCCCGGCACCGCCCGGCCATGAGGACCTGCTCTGTCAGCACGGGCACTGCCACTTGCTGTGGCTTACCAGGGCACCGGCCTTGCAGAGGGCACCTTCCTCCTCTGTGAGAGGCTGTGAATCACGGACGCGTGGGACCCCAACAGCCAAAACCTTTCAAGGCAGAAGTTGCAGATGTGTGTGAATGTAGATGTGTGCACATACGTACTTATGTTCGTTCGTGTGTGTGTGTGTGTGTGTGTGTGTGTGATGTAGTCTTCCTGTTTCTGTCAAGTCTTCCCTTGGCCTGGGGTCCTCCTGGTGGGTCATTGGAGCTATGAAGGGGAAGGGGTCGTGTCACTTTGCCTCTCCTGCCCCCGCCTGTCCCCAGTAGGGGGCAGCCATGTACATATGGGGGTGGGCTGGGCAGGGTGCTGGGCCCCTTTGTGGGGATCAGGGCTCTGGGGTGGGGCCTGGGCCTGCCCCCAGGGCTGTGAATGTTTTCAGGGTGGGGGGTGGGGAGATGAGCCTCCTGTGTGTCTGGGGTGAGGGTTGGGAGGGCCCCGCTTGGCCCTGGGGTTCAGTGGTATTCTATACCTGCCCCCGGCAGGGCTGGGAAGGTTGTGGGCGAGGGGAGGGAAGGCGCGAGGCATGGGCATGCTGCGGGTCTGGCCCGCCCTCTCCCAGCCCTAGGGGGAGGGCTCCCGGCAGCGTAACTTATTGTGTCCCCACCTATTTATTTGCTGTAAATATTTGAGTATTTTTATATTGACAAATAAAACGGAGAAAATGAAACCGTCCCTGTCGTGGAGATGAGACACGGGCTGAGACCTTCTGGGTGCCCAGAGGGAGGCTCCCTTGCCCCTGTCCCCCTCACAAAGCGCTCCCCCTTGTGCCGTCGCCCTCAGCCCGCCCCTTCAGGGGTCCCCCTCCGGCTTGTGCCCCTCTCTGGAGAGGGGTCCAGAGGTCAGGCCCCAGTGTTTTCCCACAGAGGTGGGCCGGGCTGGGAACCAGACCAGGGCCACAGCCTCTGGGGAGCCAACCATGGCTTCTGGCCAAAGGGGGAAGTCAGGGCTTGGGGAACAGGACCAGTCGAGGGGAGGGGCCTGGCTTCCCAGTCCTCTGGGAGGGGGAAGAGGGAGTGGGGGCCGTGGAGAGGAACTTCCCAGAAGCAGCTTAAACTTGCGCTCATGTGAGCACGGGGCTCCCCACCAGTGTAGGGGAAGAATGATTCCTTTGCGCCTTTATCCTCCAGGAATGTTAGTCTTGAATGCTTCAGATAACCACGCAACATGGGAACTTCACTGCCTCCAGTAGGCACCGAGCCTCTTTGCTACATAGGAAGGACCCTGTCCAGGGCCAAGATATTCTTAAGAAAACCAGGACCTAGCCTGGCTTCTATGACTCACGCCCACACACAGGCAGTGGAAATGAAGAGTCCTCTGTACCCTTGACCAGTCTGGGGGGCCTGCTGTGGCTGGAACAACCTGCTGCCAGGGTCCTGCTGTAATAGAGGCCTGGCATCTGCTGATTTGAGCAGCTAGCTTCCTGCATGGTCAGTAACCCACAGCCGAAGGAAGTTGATTCAGTAAATTAGGTGCCCACTGGGGGGATGACGGTTCCAATTTCTTTTCCCTGCCCCCCTCCCAGCCCCTACCCCGGGCCTACTTGCTTTCAGGAGCCAATACAAGTTGTAGCCATCTGCCTCCCACGGCATTTCAAGAAGTGGGCAGCAGGGGCGAGAGGGAGGAGGGGGTCTCGGCCTTTCAACTGGTCACCGCGCGGCCGTGGGGACCCATCAACCTGAGCCCGAGATGGCGGGGGAAGGAGGTGGGGAAGGGCCTTGGGGCCCGCCTGGTGACCCCCGACCCTGGGGATCCCGGCGGGACGAGGAGAAACTGGAGGGGGCCACATCCATGGCCGGCTGCCCTCCCCAAGAGTCGGTCCTAGGTCTCAGCGGGCGCGCCCGGGCCTCCGCTTAGCCTGGGACGCCCTCTCGTGGCCGCTTCGGGCCGGCGCGGTGCAGCGCCCCAGGTCCCGCCCTGCCGTCGCGATTGGCTCCCGGGCCCAGACTCAGACGCTTGATTGGTCGGCCCCGTGGTTCGTGCGGACGCCGAAGGGTCAGACCGGGCGGGTACGCCGAGGCCGCGCCCAGGCCGGCCCGTGGCGGTGCCCGCGCCCGGCAGCCGGAGGGCGGGCGCGGAGAGCGACATGGCGGCGCCGCGGCCCTGCGCGGATGGGCCCTGCTGCTCCCACCCCAGCGCCGCGCCCGGCGTGCAGCAGACGCTAGACGAGATGGACTTCGAGAGGGGTGAGGGGGCGTGCGGCTCTGCCGGCCCGGCGCCTTCCGGCGTCCGCAGGCCCCCAGGGCCAAGGAGGTGGCCGTGAACCGGGATCCCTAGAGGGAAGCGGGTGGGGGGGTGGGAGCGGGCCTGGTCGGAGCGCGGGCCGGCTGTGGGCTCGCAGCTCCCGCGTAATGAGAGCCCGCCGGGGCCCTGGCGCGAGCTTGGCAATAGAAACGCTGGTTCGTCTGCAGGTCGGGAAACAGGCAATGGCTTCGGTAACTTTCCCCAGTGGTGCGGCGGGATCCGACTCCCCACCTGGTGCGACCCCAGGACACCCAGGCCTGCTCCGGGGTCTGAGAGGGGTCGGGCGGCAGAGTCTGCTTCCAGGGCACTGCACCCACCCGGAGGGTATGGAGCTTCAGACCAGGGGGCTGCGCTGCTCCGGGCTGTGTGTCGGGCACTGCAGGCATGAGATAAGGCAGATGGCCTCCAGGAGCGCGATGTCATCCTTACGTGTGCGTCAAGCGGGGTGACTCCTTTGCCCCAGACCATCCGTGGTGCCCCCGGCTGTGTGCACAGAGCCTTGCTCTGTCTGGTTGCCCACCACCGACACGGCCTGCCGCCTGTGCCCCCGACTCTGCTCAGGCCTTCCAGCCAGAGTCCCTGAGCTGCGTGTAGGGCTCCGAGGACTCTGAGGGTCCCACGGACTAGATGCCTGTCACCCCGGTGGCTGTGGTTTTCTCTTCTGGCTGGCGCCTGACAGTGTTTGGTTGTGACTGTGTATTCAAGCATCTTAAATAGCACTCTGTCCAGCACTGGTGTGTTTGAAGTGGGGAAGAAGGGAGGTTGTGTCTGGCCAGTCTCCTGTCCTGGGTAGACAAGCCCCTGGTCTGTCTGGCTCACAGCGATGTCTCCAGCACCCCTCACAGTGCGCAGCTCACATTTGTTGAGCAGACGAATTCCCATTTGGTAGATGACAAAGAAGACAGGTCGAGAGGTGAGGGAAGTGCCAGAAGCCCCCAGTCCGTGAACATCATTCAGTGCTTGGTTTGTGCCTCTGCAGGAATCTGGTCGGCAGCCCTGAACGGAGACCTGGGCCGAGTTAAGTATTTAATCCAAAAGGCAGCGGACCCCAGCCAGCCTGACTCCGCAGGCTACACGGCTCTAGTGAGTTGGGGAGGGGCCTCAGCTCTCTGGGCGGGGATAATGTTTGCCTTTTCCCTTCTCGCACTGTTTCTTCTCTCCCAGCAGGGTTTCTGTTTAAGCATCTTATGAACCTGGGTTTTTTAGTGAGCTGAGGTGTTTTTCACTGATTGTTTAATATCAGTTTCATAATGGTAAAGAATCCACCTGCCAGTGCAGGAGACGTGAGAGACCTATGTTCCATCCCTGGGTCAGGAAGATCCCTTGGAGAAGGGAATGGCAACCCACTGTAGTATTCTTGCCTGGAAAATCCCATGGATAGAGGAGCCTCTTGGGTTACAGTCCATAGGATCGCAAAGAGTCGGACACAACTGAGTGACTAACACTTTGACTTTTCACTTTCATAACAATACTGTGAGGTAGGATTGGTAATTATTGAAACTTCCCTGGCAGTCCAGTGGTTAAGATTTCACCTTCCCATGGAGGAGCACGGGTTCTATCCCTGGTTGGGGAACCAAGATCCCACATTCCTGGGGACTGCTGAGTCCAAATGCTGCCAGGAAAGATCCCGCATGCCGCAACCAAGGCCTGACAACCCCAAAATAAATAAATATGTTTTTTAAATGGAATGGTTATTATTCCCACTGTCCAGTGGCTGAAGCAGAAGCTAAGCATGCAGGCTCGCCCTGCTCACCCGGCTGCCAGAGGGGGCTCCAGCCGCCGCTGCACCCCTCACCCAGGGTTCCGTCTCCTGACCCTGGCTCTGTTCACTGCAGCACTATGCCAGCCGCAATGGGCACTACGCCGTGTGCCAGTTCCTACTGGAGAGTGGGGCCAAGTGTGATGCCCAGACCCACGGGGGAGCCACCGCCCTGCATCGCGCCAGCTACTGCGGGCACACGGACATTGCCCGGCTCCTGCTCTCGCACGGCTCCAACCCCAGGCTGGTGGACGCCGACGGCATGACCAGTCTGCACAAGGTGCGTCCCCTCTCAGAAGTTTCACAGGCTGCAAGAACTTCTTGTCTCTTATCATTATAAAAGTTAGAACACAGGAATTCTCTGGCTGTCCAGTGTTTAGGACGTGGCACACTCACTGCTTGGGCCCAGGTTCCATCCCTGGTCAGAGAACTAAGACCTCACAGGCCAAAAATAAAAAAGGTATAACATGTTCATGGTAGAAAACATGGGGATAACAGAAAAGCATAAAGTAGAGAATCGGGATCATTTGTAATCTCACTGCTCACCCATCATCACTTGAGGATTAACATATAATTTTCCAGCGAGTTTCCTGTGCACGTAAATTAGTACGAAACATAAGGTGTCATTTTCTTTCTTAGTGGTGCATCCTCAGTGCTGCTTCACGTAGTTTTCTGAAACTTGAACCTCCCCTTGCCTGTCCCTCTGGTCCACTTTCCACACTGACCGGAGTGATCATTTAATTAGAAGTTTTCTGCCTAGAAACATGTACCCACAGTGAACAGCTTGAGGCGTACAGAATACCTGCTCTGGACACAAATTTCGCTCCCTGCCCCGCTTCCCGGTAGCTCAGTCTTCTGGGTCACTTTATTGACTGGGGAATTTCTACAGAAATTAACACCTGCGGCTGGCGATTTTTCTTTTGGCCCAAAATTAGTTCTGTTATTTCACCAACACTTTGCAAGTTACTGGGCTTCCCAGGTGGCACAGTGATGAAGAATTCGTCTGCCAAGGCAGGAGGTGTGGCTTTGATCCTGGGTCGGGAAGATTCCCCTGGAGGAGAAAATGACAACCCACGCCACTATTCTTGCTGGGAAAGCCCATGGACAGAGGAGGGGTCACAAAGATTCGGATGTGACTGCGCACACACATTGTGGGTTATTACATTCAGTAGTTACACTGGACACACCTGTTAAGTCTTCTCATTTTGGGGAAATGTTGTCTTCAGTCCACTCTGCTATAGAAGCAAAGGAGCATTCTCTCTTTTTGTTGGTCTAATATTCATATCATCTGAATCAGAACTTTATTCTGGAGAACTAGCATCTTCTTAGACACTAGCATATGTGTCACTTGGAGGATTGGAGAAAGTATCTTCATAAAATTCACCAAAAAATTTTTCACTCAAAATTTCTCGATGCCTCATTTTTGAAAATTTTATGTTTATGATATATACAGCGTTGGGACAGGAACCCAACGGAGCACAATGTGAATGATGATGACGATTATGTTATATAATGAACCCTGATCAGTTCTAAACTCCAGCAGTGCACAGTGATGTTAATTGTATCACTGTCTGAAAATGTATTGATACGTCTCTGGTCAGTCATGTGTTAGGGCATCCCCTTTTGCTGATTTCTTGTTTATCTTTGAAAGGCAGTTGATGCATCCGTAAGGCCTGTGTGTATAATCTGGTCCTCTCTTAGCCCACTTGATCTTCTCCCAGAGCGATGGTTTAAAGTGCGGTTCGGACCACACCATGCCTTAGAGTCCTCTGAAGGCTTGCTTCTATGAAGTCCTTACGCTGGTTAACAGGCCTCCTGGGGTTGGCCCCTGCCTACCTGTCAGCTTGTCCTGAGCTCCCTCCTGGCCCCTTGCCTGTTAGGCTCAGGTCCTGCTAGTTGTCTTCAGTTTCTTTCTTTCTTCTTCAGGTAATTTTATTTCAGTTTTTTTTGGCTGGGCTGTGTGGGCTTTTCTCTAGTTGCAGCAAGCAGGAGCTACTGTTCATTGTCGTGAGCAGGCTTCTCATTGCAGTGGCTTCTCTAGTACTGGAAGAGAGGCCACAGAGATGTAGGCCTCAGTGCTTGCAGCTCCCAGCTCCAGACCACAGGTCCAGTCATTGTGGTCGACGGGCTTAGTTGCTCCTCGGCGTCTGGGATCTTCCCAGATGAACCCGTGTCACCTGTGTTGGCAGCAGATTCTTAACCAGTGAGCCACCAGGGAAGCCCCCATCTCTCGTCTCTTGAACCCACTTCTGTATCCCTTGCAGACCACAGGCAGCGGCTCCTGCTGTCCGCAGGCCTCTCCACTCCCTTTGCTGTCTGGCTTGTGTCTGTTCCTCTTTCTGGACCTCAGCTTCCACATCACACGCTCAGAGAGCCTTCCTCTTCCTCGCGGACGGCAGCTCCCCTACCTGGATGCCCGGAGCACCCTGCACCTGGCTCCTCCTGCCTCTCTTCCCTCTTGGAGCCCCTCTTCGTGATCTCTGCCTCTCACTGGGGCAGCTGGAGTTGGCCTCGTTTCCTCCTGCAGCCCCAGCACCAGGCTCAGATGCCGAGAGAGCAGCTGGGGGCCCTTTTGTGTGCAGACCCTTGCCGGTTGGCGAGGCAGATTGCTCATTTCCCAGTGGTCTGAACCGATGTTGCTTGAGTGTTTCACCACCACAGCTCCCGTGATGAGTGTTGACAGGCAGGACACTGCCGGGGACAGACCCAGCTGCTTTCACCCACGGCTTGCAGCATTCTCGAGAAATTCAGAGAACGAGTATGTGTGAGGAATATGACTCATCCAGCCCTTCCTTCCAGCCTGCCTGCCTCCCTCCCTCCTTCCCTTCTGCAATCGTTGGTGCCTTGTGTCTTTTTTGCTAAAAATTATTTGGAATTCGTCTCACAACGGCTCATAACTCACCTGCCTGAATGGAAGCAATAATAGTCAGAACCCTGGGTCTGTTCCCATCAAGATATTTATGCCTAGTAAAGATTTAATTCATATTTGAGATGGTGTTGGGCACTAATATTTGATACCCTTCAGGAGCCCTTGTCTGTTGGGAGAGGTGGGGAGTAGAGTGATACAGCTATCGAGAGCCCGAACTTCGGGGTCAGACAGACCTGACTTAGAATTCCCCAAGCTGCTGCACTAGCTCTGTGACCTTGGACAAGTTACTCAACTTTCATAAGCCTCAGTTTCTTCATCTATAAAATAGAAACAACGGTATTTCTTACTTCTGATGGTTATTGGAAACATTGAACAAGATAATCTGTCTAAGTCACCTAACCTCTGATCTTTTTTGGAGGATGTGGGTTAGAATTGACATCCGAATGGTTTGTCTCAGAGGGAAGACGAGAAGCCTGGGTAGTAGACCTGGTTCTCTCTGCTCGTCTGAAAGTCCCCAGGACAAGGGCCCTGTCTGACGTGTCGTGTGCCCATGGCGCCCCTGTAGACGATACGCGTGTTCGTATAGATGCTCAGAAATCCAAGGCTCTGTACTTGTTCTTTTTTTAAATTTTATTGTTCTTTGGTGTGCTGGGTCTTTGTGGCTGTGTGCGGGCTTTCTCTAGTTGTAGTGGGTGGAGGCTCTCTAGTTGTGCACAGGGTTCTCGTTGCGGAGCATGGCTCTAGGTATGTGGGCTCAGTTGCTCTGTGGCATGTGGATCTTCATGGACCAGGGATTAAGCCTGTGTCCCCTGGACCACTGAAGAAGTCCCTGCACTGGTTCTTTTTCTTTTTTCCTTTTTGGCCGCACCTGGTGGCATGCAGGATCTTAGGTCCTTACCAGATCCCTGTGGCATGTGGAATTTTTCTGGACCAGGGATTGAACCTGCACCCTCTGCAGTGTCAGTGCAGAGTCTTAACCACTGGATGGCCAGGGATGTCCTCTGTCCTTGTCCTCAATGTGCAGGCTTGAGCAAAGAAGCATGGCCCCTGAGCAAAGGGCACAGGAAGGAGAGCTCCAGCTGACTGCCCGAGCGGCACCGGGCGCTACACCACCGTGCACACGCATCATTGACAGGAGTCAAGGGAAACCGCTCAGCCAGCCGGCAAGACCTGTGTTAGGACCTAAAGAGCCCCAGACGTAGAGCAAGAAAGCGGGGCACAGTGGGGTCCAGCTTCTGATCAGCTCCTCTCCCCGCAGGCCGCCGAGAAGGGTCACGTGGACATCTGCTCCCTCCTGCTGCAGCACAGCCCAGCCCTGAAGGCTGTTCGGGACCGGAAGGCCCGGCTCGCCTGCGACCTGCTGCCTGGCAACAGCGACCTGCGGGACCTGCTGGCCAGCTGAGTCGCCGCCCAGTCTCAGACAGCGCCCGAGGGCTCAGACTGGCTCTCCCAGCCCCCACCTGGACAGCACCCGAGCCGCAGGGTGAGCGCCTGAGGCCAAAGGAGCCCGGCAGAGCCTCGTTCTGGCCCGGCAAAGCAAGGGGACTCAGATTGTGGGGCGCCAGGGTGGCTGCCTGGACAGATGATTGTATTCTAAATTAGCTCATGTGGGAACATCTATCCGTTTAAAAAAAATTAAGTCATAGCCTTACCTCATCCCCTGCACAAAAATAAATTTGGAGTTAAGACCCAAATCTGAAAATATAAAACTCTGTAAGCATGAGAAGCAGCTTTGGAATACGTGACACATGAAAAGCTGCTTTCGAGTGACTGTGGTGGGGTCCGTGTGCAGATGAGACAAGTGAAGGTCTGAGGAGCACTGAGGGGGTGCCCAGAGCCGCGCAGACAGCATTTGAGCTCCCACCTCCCCAAAACCTGACCCACACCTGCATCTATACCATAATTTCATTCATGTTAACTGTCCGAGAGACAAGGTGCTATTGCTTTGTTTTATGTTGCATTCACTGCTGATTACTAGTGAGGTTGACTGCCTGTCTTCTGTGACCTTGTTCAAATTTAAAATTTTTAATTTTTAAAATTGTTTTCTTTTTTCATAGGAGTCGTTTATGTACTTTGGATATTGATCCTTTGTTTTGTGTATATATCTATATGTATCTTTTTCATGCTGTCTCTTGTCTTAACTGTGTGTGTTGTTACCTGTTTATGAAAATTGGTACAGTGGATGGCAGTTTGGCAATATCTACTAAAATTTAAGTGAGCAAGACCAATAGTTCTAATTTCTCTGTAGCTCCCTAGAGAAATATCCATGGATACAAAGTTATTGTGTGTGTGTGTGTGTGTGATCTTAGTTCCCTGACCCGGGATGGAACCTGCATACCCTGCATTGGAAGCACTGTCTTAACCGCAAGTCCCCAAAGATGTTTATTTACAGGTGCATTTACAAAGATGTGCACTGGAGCATGGGGTGAAATGTTAAAAAAAGAAGAAAAAAAGTAGAGCTAACTCCAGTGCTCCCAGCAGGGGGACAAGTAAGACCCCGGCCCTGGAGCCACAATGGCAGAGATGAGGGTCCAGCCCACGAGTGCAGCCTGTGCCGATGTGGAAGGAGTGCTGAGCCGTGGCCACAGTGGAGTAGGTAGAACCACACACTCACACGCGCTCGGGGGGCGTCAGGAGGAGGTGTGCGAAGCTGCACCCACTCTTTCCCCAGGTGGGGGTCCCGACCTTGATTTGCTGTGTGTGGACTTACAAGAGGTGATTTTTTTCTTCAATAAAGTAATACCAACAATAAATTAATACTAGTTGCCTCCATGTGAGTACCAGCGGTCTTCCGCTGAGCGTTTCAGATGCAGCATCAATACCCTCGCCCTGGGATGTTGGAGGAGAGGAGTCGTGGTTCCCTTCCTCAGACCACAGGCCAAAAATCACCTTTGAGAAAAACACCCTAGGCCGTAAGCACAGAAGAGTTTCTCTGAAAAGCCCTGGACTTCCCAGGTCTTGGAGCTCAGAAGCCGGCTGCAGGTGGGCCCTCGGCAGCCCTGGACCCACAGCTCTCCCTCCCCCGCTCCCGTCCTGCTCATCTCTGCTCATGTGGCTTCGAGGCCAGAGTCTTACTCACCAGCTATCAGGTTTCCTTTCAAAGGTCAAGGCAGAAATTCAAGGCACAGCTGGGTGGAAGGCATGCTTGGTGTCTTGGGGAGAATCGGGAAGGTTGACTGGTAGCTGCAGACAAATCACTTTGCAACTGGATAAATGGTTAATGTTTGTTCTTGGACCTAGAGCAGATCCGACTCACCTTGCTGGGGAAGGATGTGTCCCAGGCTCGGCAGGGCGTCTGGCTGGGGGCCTGCGTGTGAGCCGTGGAAGGCTCTTCCAGAGGCGTGAGGTGCCGATGACAGGCTGGGCTTGGCTCCTGACGGTGGCCTAGCTCAGTACCTTGACCTTGACCATTGGAGTGGTGAGGAGGCAGGGGGTTGCCTGGGGAAGGAAACCCTGGGAGCAGCCAGGTTTCAGCCTGGAGACTGGCCGAGGGGTGGAAAGTCCCTTGGTTTCTTCCTGTAGGAGCCAGGAAGCTTCCTGAGGCAGAAGCCAGCCCCTTCGGCCTCTTGCGTAGAGGTCCACTTTAGGATCCTGGGCCTCCTGTTGCCAGGGTAGCCGCGCTGTCTCCCCGGATCTCCCGCAGCCAGCCCACGGCCTCCCTGCACAGCAACGTGGAGGCTCGCACTTCTTCTCCATGGTGTCTACACTTGGGAGCATGCATGAGTGCTAGGTCGCTTCAGTCGTGTCCGACTCTTTGCGACCCCATGGGCCGCAGCCCGCCAAGCCCTTCTGTCCTTGGGACTCTCCAGGCAAGAACACTGCAGCGGGTTGCCATGCCCTCCTCCAGGGGATCTTCCCGACCCAGGGGTCAAACCAGCATCTTCTGCATTGGCAGGCAGATTCTTTACCACCAGCGCTGCCTGAGAGGCCCACACTTGGGAGAATGGGAGCCATTTCCCCTTGAACCTGGGCTGGTGGCCCCACGTCCAGGATGTGTGTTGATTGGTTGAAACACCTCTGAGCAGGTGTGAGATGGGGGTGTCTGAGGATGCAGCTGACTCAGCTCAGAACAGCTCTTTCTCCCGCCTGTAGCGGGCTAAGTGCCCAAGGCAGTATTTTGGTGAGGGTTACGGAGCCACAGAGTTATCTGGCCCGGGGCCCAGGCCTCTGCCTTGCCCTCCCCTCTGCTATAAAAGTGTTGAGCTGCTCAGCGTCTCTCACCAGGGGCCTGAAGAGCAGGGGGGACCATGAACTTCATCAGCATCCAGCAGCTGGTGAGGACTTGGGGCCGGGCGGCGGGGGTTGGGCAGTGGTTTGGGCGCCCCGGGACCGTCTCAGCAGAACGGGGGAGTCAGGCGGCTGCTTTGTGTGGCCTGAGGAGGTTTGAGTAGAAACATGCGGTTCCGTTCTGGTCTGTCTGCCCAGGTCTCACGTGAGGGGCTAGGGAGCGAGAGAGGGAGGAGACAGTGAGAAAGGCCAGGCAATGGTCAGCAAGGAATTCCTTGGGTTCAGTGGGTTCTGCCCTTGACTGTGATGGCAGAAGAGTGGGAACTGGCAAGTTACCCGGGAGACACGAGTGTGGCCCAGGTGCTGGTTGAGCTCAGCTGTGTTGCTGGTCGTTGCTGGGGAAATGGTCTGGAGGGTCTGACTGCCTTGGCTGGGGAAGGGGAGAAGGTGGGCAGTGAGAGAAGCAGGGACTCCAGTGACACTTCAGGCTGTCTGTTGAGGGAGGCTGGGCATGGAGGCCGCAGGTGTCACTTTGCCCCACAGGCCCCACTGCCAGCCAGTTCAGCCTGTGCTGGGAGGCGGGTTGCAGGGCCCAGGAACTGTTTGATTGCCTGAGTTCACTTTAGAAGGGAATGGAATAGAGTCCCATGTGGCTGGAAACCATACACTCTGCCATCCTATCATTCCAGCCTCTTCTCTCCCCTCAACTTGCTTCTTCCTGGGTGCTGCCAGCTCCTGAATCCTGGGGGTAGGGGCCAGGGGAGGGAGAAAAGAATGTTTTGTTGTACGACGTGCTCCACCCTAGCCCCACTAACTCATTTCATCTTGGGCACCGAGAGGAAAGAGCTAGCTTTACCCCCAAGTTATTATAAAGAGAGCTTCCCAAAGAGCCAAAATCTGAATGCAGGAATTTGGCATTTTACCCAGGAGGCATTTCCGCTGTCCCCCTACCGCCCCCCACCCCCCCCCCCCGCGGTCAGGTGGCAGTGTGGCGTGATCTGGTAGGAATGTAAGGACAACCACCCACAAGAGAGGCCCTGAGCTCACCTGGATGCGGCCCAGCAGTATAAACAGATGCGGTGTCAGGCGCCCGCTGCTGTGTTCCTGCTGACAGGACAGAGTGGGCAGCAGCCAGCTATCCTCCCGGGTCTCAGGCAGTGCTGTAGGTGGCGAGAGCCGCGGGGAGCGGGTGGGCCGCCACGGCACTTTGCACAGGTCCAGACAGGCTCGTTGACCTTTGTATGTCAGCTCCTGGCAGGACCCCACCCCGTCCAGCACCATTGTTTGCTAGGTTTTGTCACTTGGTCATGTCTGACTCTGCGACCCCCTGGGCTGCAGCCCACCAGGCTCCCCTGTCCGTGGAATTCTTCAGACAAGAAGACTGGAGTGGGTAGCTATTGCCTTAGGGCTCCCCCTAATTTTCCCGAGTCTTTGTCCTCGTCTGTGCCTACAGGTAAGTGGAGAGAGAGTTGAAAGGACGAAATTGGAACGTGGACATGGAGTTCCTGATCCTGGAGCGGGGCTTCACAGCTGGAGGCTGGGGCCCCAGGAGGCCGAGGCCCGGGAGAGGCAGAAACTGGACGAGGAGAAGAGGAGAAGAGTGAGTGGCCAGCGGTGGCGGCCCAGGGGGCTGGGTGCGGGCAGGCTGAGCAGTGGGGCTCAGGGACTGATAGCCTGGGTGGGCACTCCTGCTGCCTAAAGACGAGGTGAGGCCAACCAAGAGATGCCCCAGGGCTCCAGCGGCCAGCGGCTGACGGCTCATGTGGTCCTGTTTCTGCCACAGCTTGAAAGATTTAACAGTTCCAGAACTAACTTGGAGAACCTGGCTGATTTGGAAAAGTTGGTTCAAAGACGGAAAGAAAAGCGACTGAAACGCAGGGTCCCCCCCAAGGCACCCCAGCCTGAGGTCAAGGTGAGCAAGGGTGCACACCCGGGCTGGAGTTCATGAGCCAGAGCCTCCTGTCCCCAGGAGAGGCCCGGGGAAGAGCTGCCCAGCCCACACCCAGAGACCCCTTTGCCCCTGCTGGCAGCCTGAGTGGGCTGCTGGCGAAACAGCACCTCAAGCTGGGGGCTTAGACAGCAGCTGTGTTTGCACGGTCTGCTCAGAGGGCTGGCAGTCCCACATCAGGGCTTCATCCCGAGGCCCTGGGGCTGGATCTGTCCATGCCTCTCCCCAGCTTAGGGGTTGGTGGAAATCTGTCATTTCCTTGGCGTGTGGATGCGTTGCTCCGGTCTCTGCTCTGAGCTCACACAATCCACAAGGCCTTCCACGTGTGCATGCCTGTATCCAAATGTCCCCTTTCAGTAAGGACTTGTCATATTGGAACAGGGCCCACCTACTCCAGGATGACCTCATCTTAAACAATTATAGCTACAGTGACCCCATTTCCAAGTAAGGTCACTCTCAGAGTGCTGGGGTTAGGACCTTAACATCTGAACTTGGAGGAGACACAGCTCAATCCATGACCCCCACCTCATACACCTGTTCAGTCTTCTGGGGGCAGGATTGTTTTTTTAAAGTTTGTATGTATTTACATAATTGACTGTGTGGGGTCTAAATTGCATCATTCTGCATCTTTGGTTGTAGCACATGGACTCTCTAGTTGTGGCTTTCGGACTTCGAAGCGCACAAGCTCTGTAGTTTTGATGTGTGGGTTTAGTTGCCCTGTGGCATACGGGATCTTAGTTCCCTAATCAGGGATGGAACCCATGTCCCCTGCATTGCAAGGGAGATTTTCACCCACTGGACCACCAGAGGAGTCTCTGGGGGCAGGTTTTTTTAATCTGTTGTTTGTATAAGCCGATAGTGCGCTGGTCCTCAGCCAGGTCTCTGGTTAGACTGGTGAGGCCATGCATCCCAATGCAGCCTCTCGAGTGAGTGGGCCTTGTCCTTGAACTTACCTGGCTTTCCTGGTGGCTCAGATGGTATCATCTCCTGCCTGCAATGCAGGAGACCAGGGTTTGATCCCTGGGCCAGGAAGATCCCCTGGAGTAGGAAATGACAACACACTCCAGTCTTCTTGCCTAGAGAAATCCCATGGACAGAGGAGCCTGGCGGCTGTAGTCCATGAGGTCACAGAGTCAGACATGACTGAGCAACTAACACTTTGAATTTACTCAGCCGCAGCCACAGGCCCAGCTGGAACCCGTGGACCTGGAGGTGTTCCTGAAGGCAGCTGCCGAGAACCAGGAGGCCCTGATTGACAAGTACCTGGCGGACGGAGGGGACCCCAATGCCCACGACAAGGTAGCGAGGGTGGCGCAGGCATGGTGCATGCCTAGGAAGCCTCAGGGCTTTTGTTTCACGGGGCACAAGTCCCGTGGTGCCTCCTGAGTGGGGAGAGAGTGGCACTGGGAGCAAGGTCATGGGATGGGACCAAGGGTGGCCAAGCTTCCTGCACCCGATCTCCCACTCTCTCCCCAGCTGCACCGCACGGCCTTGCACTGGGCCTGTCTGAAGGGTCACTGTGAGCTTGTGAACAAGCTGCTGGAGGCGGGTGCTGCCGTGGACGCTCGGGACTTGGTAAGACCCAGGGAAGGGCCACCCCCACGGCAAACCTCCCACTGGCTTCCCCACATATCAGGGTGAGGTGGGTGCTTCTCTTTGCAGCTGGACAGGACCCCAGTGTTCTGGGCCTGCCGCAGAGGCCACCTGGACATCCTCAAACAGCTGCTTAACCGGGGCGCCCAGGTCAACGCCCGAGACAAGGTGAGGGCACAGGCCGGGGTGGGGGGGGAGCCCGAGGCTCTCGGGGTAGGAACACAGCCGTGCCAGCCTGTGATGACACCGCTGCCCCTCACCGCTGCCTCAGATCTGGAGCACGCCCCTGCACGTGGCCGTGCGCACGGGACACTGTGACTGCCTGGAGCACCTCATCGCCTGCGGGGCCCGCATCGATGCGCAGGACAAGGTTGGCGTCTGGTTACCAGAGGTTGGGGCGGCTCACCCCCGGGGCTGGGGCCCGAAGGAGCCTGAGCTCAGCCACGCATGGCGCCTGCTCCCAGTGGGGCAGGGCTGAGGAGGATGACAGCCCATCCCTCTCAACAGGAAGGTGACACGGCTCTGCACGAGGCAGTCCGGCATGGGCGCTACAGAGCCATGAAGCTGCTGCTGCTCTACGGGGCTGGTCTGGGCGTGCGCAACGCGGTGAGTGCGGGCGGGCAGCGGGGCGGGCAGCAGGGCGGGGTGGGCGGCCCAGGGATGAGAGTGGGCTCTGAGCCAGCGCCCTCCTTCCAGGCTTCGGTGACCCCAGCGCAGCTGGCCCGGGACTGGCAGAGGGGCATCCAGGAAGCACTGCAGGCCCATGTCAGGCACACCCGGACCCGGTGCTGACCACCTGCGGGGCCACTCAGCCTCATTCCAGCCCCACCACCTCCCGCCCTCCCGTGGTCCTTCCTTGGCACACCCCGGCCTGACCCCTCGTCTCCAGGCAGCCCTGTCAGGGCCGCTCTGAGAGGGGGACAGGTAGGAAAGCCTTCCTGCCTCCAGTCCTGGGGCTGAGCCATGCCCCATGCGAGCTGGGGGCTGAGGCAGAGGACCCGGGTATGGGGGGCAGGAAACTGGGTCCAGTCGAGGGGCAGCAGAGGGTCGGCGCCAGGATGGAACGGGAAGGGAGCGAGCCTCAGGCTTCCGGGGCCAGTGCAGGAGACAGCTCCTCAGTGTCCACTGGCCCTGTGGCCAGGAGACGACCAGGCTCAGCCCCCCACGAGGGCCCACCTGCTGTCAGGGGGTGACATGTCGCGAGGCCAGCGCCATCGGGGCCACACAGGTGCCCTTGGGCACAGGTTTCTCCAGGGGCCTCAGTTCCTATCGGCAGCAACCCTGATAGCGTCCAGAGTGGCTCCAGACGCTTCAGCCTTGCGGCTCTGAGCTGGGTCTGGCTGTCTGGACGGGGCTGCTCAGCAGGTTTGAGCCCCCCAGCACAGAAGGCCAGCCCCAGCCCGGTTGCCTCAGCAGCCCCAGGGCTGACGAGCTGGAGCTAACGTTTACCCCAGGGAAGCCTTGTGCCCTTTGTCAGGCCCGCCTGCCGCACTCGTCCGCCAGCTGGCAGCTCTTTGCAGAGGAAGCACCCGGGTGCTGGGGGTTGCTTGTGGCCCACTCAGCTTCTGGGGCAGTGGCCCGTAACCCTACTCTGCCCTGGGCGTGGACGCCCCCCTGGCACGAGAGCGGCACTGTGGCCTGGCCCCTGTAGCCATGCCACTTCACCCACCATCAAGGCAGGACGTGGAGGGCTCTGAGTTCACCTGCTCCTTCCCCTTCTCTCCCGACCTGAGGTGGCCTAAGGCCCAGCCTCCACACACTCCCCTAAAGCTTCCTCTCACCATCCTTCCCGGGTCATGCCGCACACTTGCAGACTTGTACCTGTACCGCTGGTGGGGCTGGGTCCTTTAATGCCAGAAACCAGAAAGCAAACCTTTGAGAACAATTTTGCCCCAAATGGAGAGCCACAGGCAGAGGGATGGGCTCCCGGACGGAGGTCAACCTCCCTCATGTAAGGAACCTGGGCTGATAGCCACTCTGCAGCAGTTATTTTTTTAGTCTCACTGGCCGCTTTCTCAGGCCGAGGACAAGGCAATTTCTGTGAAAAAGCCGGCAAGAGCTCTGAAGGGCGGCCGCATGCCCGCCCCTCACACAGGCAGCTCCTGCCCTGTCGTGACAGAGCCCCCCCGTTCACCCAGACATGGGGCCCATGGGCGAACAGCTGGTCAAGTTCACAGAGAAGATGACTTCCCATCTAGAAAATGGGGACACTTAAGTGACAGACAGAAATACCTTTTTATACGCATCACTACTTTTTGTTCATTAAAACTTGTTGATTATCCATCATGGCCTGGTTGTCTATTCTGGGCCGAAAGCTCCAGTTCCACTGGCCTTGGGCTTCGTCTTCCTCAGCAGCAAAGCCAGGCCTGATTACCACGCTGGCCTGAGAGCAAGACCGGCCCCTGAAAGCAGAGCAGGCAGGCAGGGCAGTGCTTCTCCGCTAGGCTGCCTGTCAGAATGAGGAGGGAAGATTTCAAAGATCCTCATTTTGGGTTCCCCTGGTGGCCCAGTAGTTAAGAATCCACCTGCCAACACAGGCAACATGGGTTCAATCCCTGGTCCAGGAAGAGCCCAGCGGCAGAGCAGCTGAGCCTGTGCCCTAGAGCCTGGGAGCAAGAACTACTGCAGCCCGCACGCCGCGAGCCTGTGCTCGGCACCGAGAGAAGCCGCAACTGGAGAAAAACAAGCGCAGAAACGAACATTCAGCAGTCAGAAAATTTGAAAAAATCCTGACATTCAGGGAGTTTTGAAAATTCCCTGGTGGTCCCATGCTGCCACTGCATGGGGCAAGGGTTCAGTCACTAGTCAGGGAGCTCAGATCCAGCACGCCATATGGCCAAGAGGTTAAAACAACACAAAACCTTGATGTCCAGCCTGAGGAAATCAGAATCCCAAGGGTGGGCCCAGGGGCCCAGGAATAAGCATTTTCATATAGTTGACATGCCTGTCTATGAAGGTGATCCTAAGGAATCTTATTTCTAAAAAAAATGAAAATAGCACCTAGAATGATCTCAGGATACAAAAACCTTTTTCTATACACTAGTGATGATTCTGAATACTAAAACACACAGTACTACTTATAATTTGCTAAAAAGGAAACCCACTTAGGTGTAAATCTTACAAAACATGTAAGGACCTGCAGGCTGAAAACTACAGTGCTGATGAATGAATGAAATTTAAATAGATGGGAGACATACACATGGACTGAAAGATGTAACCGAGTAAAGATGTCGGTGCCACCTAAATTGATACACAGGTTTAACCAGTTCCTGACAAAATCCCAGCAAAGTTTTTTTTTTTGTAGATTAGACAAGTTATTCTAAAATTTGAAACATACAACTCTGGAGAAGAACAAAATGGAAGAAATCAGTCTACTGATTTCAGGGAACTACTAAATAGCTGCTAGGTGGTACTAGTGGTAAAGAACCTGCCTGCCAATGCAGGAGACAGTTAAGACTGTGGGCTTGACCCCTGGGTCGGGAAGATCCCCTGGAGGAGGGCATGGCAACCCACTCCAGTGTTCTTGCCTGGAGAGTCCCATGGACGGAGGAGCCTGGCGGGCTGCAGTCCCATGGGGCTGCAGAGTTGTACACGACTAAAGCGACTTAGCAGCACTCAGTAATCAAGACAGGGTGGTACCAATGGAGAGAGAGACAATCAGTCAATGGAACAGAACAGATGACCCAGAAATGGAGAAAACAAATATGCCCAAAGATGCAAAAGCTACTCACTGGAGGAAAGACATGCTTTACAACACTTAAGGTAAGGGACATCTATAGGCAAAAAAGACAACAACAACCCTTTACTCAAAATGGATCACGAAGGGCTTCCCTGGCGGCTCAGTGGTAAAGAACCCACCTGCCAATGTACAAGACATGGGCTCGATCCCTGGTCTGGGAGGATCCCCCATACCATGGAACAATTAAGCCATGAGCCACAACTACTGAGCCTACATGCCTAGAGCCTGAGCGCCACAAGAGCAGGCACCGCAGTGAGCCCGCAGACTGCAGTGAAGAGCAGCCCCCATTCTTGGCGACTGGAGAAAACCCAAGCAGCCAAGATGACCAAGCAGAGCCAAAAATAAACGATTAAAGAAAAACAAGGTCACAAACGTAAATGCAATGAAAAACTATAAATACTTTATAAAAACAATCTTCAAGTCTAGATTTAAAAAAAGAAAAACTAGGTAAAGATTTCTTCGGTGGTTTAGTTGCTAAATCATGTCTGACTCTTGTGACCCCATGGACTGTAGCCCGCCAGGCTCCTCTGTCAATGGGATTCTCCAGGCAAGAATACTGGAGTGGGCTGCCATTTCATGACACCAAAAGCATGATCCATAAACAATGAGTAAACTGGAATTCATCAAAATTTATTTCTGCTCTATAAAAACTCCCATTAAGATAAAAAAAAAAAAAGCTACAGACTGGGAGAAATTATTTGCAAACCAAAAACCCAATAAAGCCTAGTAATTCTCAAAACTCAGCAGCAAAAGAACCAAACAATCTAAGTGGAAAACGGACAAAAGACATAAACAGACGTTTCACAAAGTGAAATAAGCACATGAAAAAATACACATTATGGAAATGCAAGTAAAATCCACAATGAGATAGCACTACATACTTACCAGAAGGGCTACAATACGTGACACCACCAAGTCCTGGGGAGGACATGGGAAAAAAACTCAACATATTGCTGGTGGGAATGTAAAGTTGTGCAGGTGCTCTGAAAAGGTTTGGCAGTTTCTTTTAAAACCTAAATATGCAATAACCATACAAACCTGGCAACTGCATGCCTAACCATTGAGCTCAGGGAAAAGAAAACCAATGTCTGCACAAGAACCTGTGATGAATGTTCATAGCAGCTTTATTTGGAATAGCCAAAAACCAGAACCCACCCAGATGTCCTTAGACAGGACAGCGAGTCTGTGGTGGAATACCACACAGCAATCACGAAGCAACAACTGGCTGACATGTGCAACAGCCTGGAGGAGACCCCAGAACAATGCGCCGAGTGAAGAAAGCCAGTCCCCACACTTACATACCACAGGACCCCATTTATACAGCATTCTTCAAATGACAAAATTACAGAGATGATGTACAGATTAGTGGTTGCCAGGGATTACAGGTAGTGGCCAGAGGGGGTGGGTGTGGCTTTAAGAGCATCTGTTGGAGGGAGATCCTAGTGAGGAACAGTTCTGTATCTAGACTGAAGTGGTGGTTACACAAATCTACATGTGATAAGATGCTACAGAACTACATACCCACATTGCAGCAGAGTCAGATTCCTGGTTTTCATACTGTACTCTAACTATGTAAGACCGTGTAATCATGGAGGAAAACTGGGGGAAGGATACATGGGACCTCTATCCTTGCAACTTCCTATGAGTCTGTCATTATTTCAAAGTAAAAAGTTATAGGAGAAAATAGGAAAAAACGCAATAGCTCTAAATGCAACTTGGTGTCCTGGGTTGGGTCCTGCAACACAAACGGACATTATGGAAAATTTGATAAAAACCCAAATGAAGTCTGTAATTTAGTCAATAGTTTTGTACCAATGTTAATTTTTTAATTTTGATAAGTGCACCAAGGTTATGGAAGATGTTAACATTCAGGGAAGCAGGCGTGATCTGTGAATATAAAATAATTTTTACAGAATAAAATCCTGGTGCCTGGACTAATTAAATCAGAATCCCTGGGTGGGTGGGTGGGTTGGAGGAAGCGGCCCAGGGAGCAGTATTTTTAACTTGCCATGTGATTCCAATGTGCAGCCAAGGTTAATCACCACTCTTCTGCAGAGAGAAAAAAATTTTCAAGTATCTATTTCCCACCTGGGTTTGCTCTTGAGAGAGAATTCCTTGAGAAGTTTCTAAGTGAGCATGCCACTGTTTCTTGGCCTTCACTCGCACTGATCCTGGATAAGGACCCAAATGCCACTGAGAAAGGTTCAGAAATCCTCCTGCCTCCCTCGCTGGGGTCCCCATGATGCCCCAGTTTCTGCACAGCTAAAGCACCACGGAAGGTGGATGTAGGTAACCAGAAGACAATACAAACGCCTTCTTGTTCCCACTTCTCTGAAGCCCCAGAGAGCTGGAATGGGAGTAAAGCCATGAGCTTAAAACATCTCAGAGCTCTAAGAAAAACTTTTTTGATTTCACCTTTTTTCCAAAGACAGGTGACGGGGGTCTACCTAGTCCACACCCAGCCCTGCCTCCCCTGCTGCTCTCCATGCGCTTTCCAGCCACACAGCACCCCGGGGGCCTCCAGCGACCCACTCTGGGGTCTGACGACAGTGGATCAGGTGCATCAGAGCAATACCTTCCCCCCACCCGTGACCTCTTCTTAACACATGGAAACGACAACACTGTTAGTGCCACTGAGCCAGGCAGGTGGAGGAGCGGCAGGAAGAAGGGGCTCCTGAACCCCACAGGGGCCAGTGTGCTCGCTCTGGGCTTGGGACAGGGCAGGAAAAGCCACCTCCACGGGAGGCAGCGGGCCTGGAGGGACACAGCTTCCAGCTTTGGCGCATGCTCGGAAGCATGGTGTCATAAGGGAAGCCAGCAAGGCTGGCGTGGCCAAGCCCACGGATGTGAACCCCAGCCCACATGGCGCGCTTGGTTTGCTCAAGAGGTGCTGCCAGCAGCAGAAGGTTGGCAAATGAAGCAGAGAGAGTGCAGGTCACGGCCACAGGAAGGCAGTTACCGCGCTCACATCGTGGCCTGGCCGGAGAGGTATAGACACTGTCACAGGGAGGCTGGCCCCGGGGACTGGAGATGACGCTGTTCCTTTCACTCCATTCGGAAGCAGACCTGGAGGGCTGGCCCCCACTGACCCTCGTGTTCTAGGGGTGGGGAGGCAGAACCTGCTGAAGGCTCCTGGCACAGATGTCTGGTTCGGAGGACAGCCAGGACCTGCACGTACAAGGCCATCTAAAACGTGGCCCGCAGGGGACGGGATGGGCTGGCAGGAAGCTGCTTTCCGGCTTGCTCCAGTTCCCCACGTGCTTGTCTATTCCCCAGACCTGGGGCTGCTTGACAAGCGGCTAAACTCCCGGGTTCCGCCCGGGGCTCTCCTCTGCTGGGAGGCCCGGTCTGCTGTGGTTGGATCCTAGAGAGGAGAAGAGGGTCAGCGTTAGAGCATCAATCAAGGGAGTGGGTCCTATGAAACCAGCTGTAAATCCTCTTTGGGAAGGCAGCAGGCAGGTAAGGCAGGGGAGCCTCAGGCCTCTTCGGGAGGCCCTGAGGCAGAGCTGGGAGGATTTAGTTAGGAAAACAGTCAGCCTCACGAGAGAAAACCACTGTGAGGACGGACGCCATCACCAAGAGGCAGGGAGGCAGGGCTCCTGCCCATGGGAGGCCAAGGCCACAGGGCCAGGCGGAAGACACCTGCGCTGGGCAGCACACCTGGCACCAGAAGGAAGCGGTCACTGCCAAGGCCTCCTAGAAAAATGAGCCGAGAAATAGCAAAAAGGGACAAGAAGTGCCCACTCACCCCCCACGGAGGAGAGCCTCCCTTCTGGGGGAGAGGTCTGCAGGGCACCCCCAGCAGCTAACAGGCTGGGGAAGGAAAGCAAAGAGAAGGTAAAGTAAAAGGAGAGATATTTACCTGGGGTGTTGTCTTAAACAAAAAATGCTCACTAGTCCACAGTCAATTATCAACTGCAGTTTCCAAATGTGCCAAAGAGGGAAAGGTCTATCGGGAAGGCTAGAGAGAGAGAAGGAAGAGGTGGGGAGAAGGGGAGAGAGAGAGGATACGCGCCAGGGAGCCGTACCCGCAGGGCCCCCGCTTGGCAGTGCGGCTGAGACGAGGCCGCGAAGCCAGGGGGCCTGGGAGGCGCGGCCGAGTATGGACGCCCCCTGGCAACCCCGCCCAGGGAACGATGGACATGGAGAGCTTCCAGATTTCAAATGGCAGACCAGGGCTCGGAAAGCAGCGTCCAAGAGCATCGCTAGGTTTTGTGGGTCTTGGTGACAATGACTCAACTCCACCGTCTCAGCTCAAAGGCAGCTACACGCAAGCCACCAGCAGATGGGCGCGTCCAATCAAACGCTGTGAGAATGGGCAGACTGGGCCCATAAGCCATTTCCAACCCAGCTGTATGCAGCTGCAAATTATGGTGCTTTCCAAGCATTTCAGTAAAAGTAGTTCTCTGCTGGGGAACCTAGAGCCTGAGTGACTCAGAAGGCAGCTCTGACCTGCGCTATTTCAGCAGGGCCCTGGGGACACGTCCACTGATTTCCCTCAGCAGCAAAGCACGAGGTTAAGAGAGAGGAAATACAAGACGCTGAGGGCTGCCCAGGGCCAACATCAGGCTGCATTTAGGGAAGAATTAACACTGTGACTAAGAACAGGGGCTAGTAATCCATTACAAAGAAGAAATGGCCCACAAGCCACTATAAACGATTCCCTCGGCAGACTGTCCAACAAGTGGCTCAAGCCACAAAAGGATTTAAAAAACAAACTTTGGGTATATGATAAAAGATGAACAGAAAAACCAGGATTCTTAGGTTTGTACCTTAACTACAACCTGTGCAGTCTGAGTAGTAGATGGAGCCAGAAAAGCTCACACGAGAAAACTAAAAGCAAAAGGCTCGCATTCTGCAAAACAAAATTGCCCTGGTTTTTGAGACCTGAGTCTAAAGAGATGGTGTGGATTTATGTGTAAGGGGTGCCTCACAAAATAAAAGGTCGTGGTGGGTAAACACAGGAGCGGGCTGAAGGGAACGAAGGATCTGTTTGTTCAGAAAGGCCGAGACTGTGCCCAACTCTAGGACCCAGCATGACCCCGGGAGTCCGTCACCAGCACCAGACTCACGAAGTGGGGCCACAGTGAGGCCCAGGGGGGCTCTGCCCCTCACATCTCAGGAAGCACCTGTCCATCACTGAAACACGTTTTCTTCTCAGCTGTGGCTCCAGTAACCAGACCCACTTCCTGTGGGCACCACAACCCACAGGCCAAGGGTGCGCCCAGGCTCTAAGCCGGAGTACCTGTCTCTCCTGGTCTCCAACTCTCATCTGGAAAATGGGCATAACAACTACCACTTCTCAGAACCTCAGGGAAGTCATCTTCGCTGAGTCAGGATAAGGCAGGCTCTCAACACAGTGCAAGGCACAGGCAGCCTTCAGTAAGACCTCGGTGTCCCCACTACAGGGTGGGATGTGGTGGGGGATGGAGCAAGAGTCAGACCCCTGCAGGCCCCCTTCGGCCTCTCCAAAGCCCCACCAAACCCTGCTGGTCCTGAACATCGAGGGCAGCAAAGCTCTCTGACCTGTCCTACCACTCCCACCCAAAGCCCCTAGTTTACAGACTCCTTTTTGTTTTCCCTCCTTACACAGTTAGGGTGAGGTTTCCCCTCTCCCCCTGCAGAGTCCGCTTTCTCCTGCTCCCAGGGGAGTCCCACGGGAGGCGTACCCTGAACAAACACCTCAGCAGGTGCCCCTCTTGGTTCTGGGATGGGGTCCACAAGCCACCCAACCTCTGAGTCAGGCCCACTGGACCTAAACCTTCATTTTCCAGGTGCTTTGCTGTGCTTAGTCATTCAGTTGTATCTGACTCTTTGTGACCCCATGGACTGTAGCCCGCCAGGCTCCTCTGTCCATGGGATTCTTCAGGCAAGAATACCTGAGTGGGTTGCCAGGCCCTCCTCCAGGGGATCTTCCCTAAATGACCAATAGTGTGGCTGAATACACCCTTACTCCCATTTAGCAACTACAGCTGACCCTTAAACAACGCAGGTCTGAAATGCGTGAGTCCACTTACATGTGGGTTTTTTCCAATAGTAAATAATACAGCACTGCACAGGCCATAGCTAACTGAATCTGTGGATGTGGAATTGCGGATACAGAGGACCGACCATGTGACACGCACAGATTTTCTACTGCACAGGGAACTGGCGTCCCTCACCCATGTTATTCAAGGGTTAATTGTATTCCTTAAATAAACCAACCCACCCTTCAGTCCCGTGAGAGGAAATGCTGACTTACATGCTCTGCTCAAGATGCCAGCTGGTCTGTAGCTCGGTATTGTCCAAATCATTAAAAACACAAGAAGGGAGACAGAAAAGGATGGGGCGATGAAAGGAGAAAGAACGGACGGAGGGCGAGGCAGAGAGCAGGGCCGTGTGTGTGTAGCTGGGAGGGCAGAGGGCACGCTCACCCGGGGGGGGCAACACTGCGGGACCCGGGCTCACCTGGGGCTGTGGCCGCCTTGTCACCGAGGAGCCTGGTCTGGCTGCCAGGGATGGCCAGAAGCTCTGTGTTCTCCGGGGACTGTGGCAGCGCCTGGGCGCGGGTGGCCAGGAGTGCATTGAGGTACTGCAACCGAGTGACCTGGGGGGCAGGAAGCATTGCAATTCGTGCGGGCGGGCAGGCAAAGTGAGACGAGGGCCCACACTACCCCTCCTGCCCTCCAGCACTAAAACTAGGGGTGGAGCCACACCTTGCAGGACGAGGGGAAAGGACGCACCCGGGGCTACTAGCTAGGGGCTGTTAAGACCCCCAAGGACACCGGGTGCCTAGGCCGCCAGGAGACAAGAGGGGCCAGGCGGTCTGTCCTTCAGAGCAAGTACAAGGTTTGTTCTGAGACTCAATCACAATTTAATCCATTCTAACGTGTGACCAGATGCTCCAGCCCTTGGGGTCACAAAGCTGGTTAAAAGCCAGCACTGAGGAGCAACGCAGATGGTCACCTTGATGAACTGCAGGTCAGAGAGGGCCCTCACGGTGTAGTCGGGACAATACGCAGACAAGCGGGTGCTGTCAGCGGGCTCGGGCGGTGGGTCGTAGCGGATGGACTGGAGCGAGGACACCGGGGACTGGTGAACTGCAGAAAGGACAGTTAGTGATGTCAGCTGACCACGGGGGAGCGGGCCAGCCCCCGCCCAGCCTCTGAGATCCACCCTGCTGATCACCCCAGCGACGGGATGCAGCCTGGGACTCTGCACAGGAGGGCAAATACGTCCCTCCTGGGACAGGCTTGGCAGGGGTGGGAAGAACAACAAAGACGAGGCCTGTAGAAACTCTGCCCTTCCCTCCACACAGCCAGGAGACGGTAAGGGCCAGCAGGTCCCCAGGCAGACCGCCCTGCAAGAGGGGAACAGGGGAGCCCCTGCAGTGCCCACCCACCCCCACCTCCAGCTCCAAGAGGAGCGCCTGCCCACCCACCGACCCCAACCTTCAGCTCCGGGAGGGCCCAGCTTACCCGAGGATGGCGCTGTCAGGGCAGAAACCCCGTAGTAGGTGAAGGCCCCATTTTCGAACTTCAAGCCCTCCTTCCCGATCTCCACCTCCACCCTGCCCTGGAAGGTGCGGAGAGAGAGGGAGGAAAAGAGGACAGGGAGAGAAGTGGACAGGTCACCTTGCCTGCTCGCAAAGAGCAGGAGAGTGCATGGACCCCAACTATCCAGGGGGCGTGCACCTGGTGTTCCTCTTCCTACACCCTCCCCATGTCCTGGGCAAGCGGCAGGCTGCAGGCCGGCTGGCAAGTACCTGCAGGATGAGGATGAAGTAGTCCACCGGCCGGCTGCGCTGGTACAGGTAGTGGTGGGCGGCCAGGCGGTTGCTCTCGTCAAACCGTACTTCCTGGTTGACGCTGGGATGCTTCAGCAAGTGCAGGAGGACCTTCTCAGAGACCCGCAGCGGGCTGAAGACGTCCACCTCTGTCCCACAGAGGGAAAAGGGGATGGGGACACTGTCCTCTGGGCCCAGCACAGCCCGTGTTAGCACACCACTGCCCGTCTCAGCTGCCCCAGCCTCCCCGACACCCCCGGGACGCAGCTCTCTGTCATCCGGCAGAGGCCAGCCAGCCTCAGGTGAACCAAGATACTGACAGGGCAGAAAAGAGGAGTGCCAGGAATAGCAGTGGGCAGCGGGGTGAGCCAGAGAGCAGGGACGAGGCCCACCCCGGCTCTCACCTCGGGACAGGAAGCGCTGCGTGGCCAAGAGCAGCTGAGGTGAGATTTTCACTTTATAGTCGTCGTCAGACACCTTGAACAAGGAGAACTCCTCTTTCTGTCTGAGAGGGGCGTTCAGAGACGCAGGCTTCTTCTTCACTATAGTGTCTCCTGGGGTGGGGTGAAGAGGGCCTGCTGAGGCGCCAGGAGCCCTCCACCAACACGACCGGGCCGAGGGGTTTGCTGCCGCTCCCGCCTCCAAGGCCTTGTGGCTCCTGGGGGAACGGTGTCAGGACCCCAGGCCCTGTCCTGGGCACTGCTGCTTTGCCGGAACCTGCATTGCCACCCCCACCAGACAATGATCCAGTTCCCGCGTCAGAGGGGCAGTGGCCTGCATTCCAGGGACAGCCTGAGAAGTAGCAGAAAGGCCTGCTCCCCTCCTTGGAGTTGGGAGCAGATGATGCAGACATAACAGCAAAAAGCTTACATAAAACAGCAGCCCCCTCCAGGAACCGTGAGTATGAGGATCGCTCGTCTCAAACAGCCGCTGGTCTGCAGCCTGTGCCTATGGCTGTCTGAGGAGCCGGACCAAGGTGTCGCGTTTGGGGGGCAAAGAGATTCATGTGCAAACTCACAGGGGCGGGCAGCTAGTTTTCTGGGGCCCCTGTGAGCTCCCCACAAAGCATGGGCTGTGTGTGCCCCGCAGACTGCAGCCACTGAGAGGCAGGCCCTCCTAAGACACAATCACAGGCCCCAAGATCATCTGGTTGGGGAAGAACCTCTTGGCAGCAAAGCAAGGGGTTCTTTGAGAACTTCTATAATGTAAAACAGGACAAGAGGCCAAGGAGGAGGAAGACTGGGCAACACCCATTCAGGCCAGAGGCAAGTCCAGTGCCAGGACTGCAACACCACCAAAGGGATGGTCCGGTCCAGCCACAGGTGAGCCCCACCTCCCGTGAGAGGCAATCCCAGCTCCCGCAGGGCTAAGGACACAAGCCCAGGGATGTGATAGCTCTGCCCCGAGATCCAGCCCAACTTCGAACAACATGGGGACCCCCAGCCTCTGATATACACATGTCTCCATAAGCTCGAGAGAACAGCTGAGCCGGAGACACACAGGAGCCCGGACTCACGGTAGTCCTCAGACTCGTCCAGGATCTCGGACTTAATGATCTCCTCGATGACATCCTCCAGGGTGACCAGGCCCAGCACCTCGTAGAAGGGGTCACCTTCGCCCTCATTGTTCACCTTCTGCACGATGGCCAGGTGGGACTTCCCTACAGGGAGAGGACACTCATGTTACAGCTCACTGGAGGCCTCCTTTTCCCTCGTCCCGACTGACAAGCCCACCACGAGGATGGAAGCTGTGTTCCCATGATGCGCCACGCATCAGGAGAGACTATTCCTAGCTTCTCACTACCTAAGACGCTCCACGTGCCCATGAGGATCTCAGACCTCACGTCCCCCTGCCCAAGGCCCCCCCAAGCAGTGGCGGAGCTGGGGTCACCCCAGGTCTGCATGGCTCCACACCGCAAACATGGTTTAGACAAGGAAGCATCTGGGCCAGAACAGACATGGTAAAGAGCAACTGGGCCTAGGACACAGGGCCCTGACGCCAGAGACGCCAGCTGCCCAGGAAGCGTCTGGATGCAGGAGCCAAGAGGGGCCACGTCAGAAGTCTCCAAGGGAAGCATTCCCAATTCTGAACGTTGCCCTGTATCTTCATCCAAGTCAGGCAGCGGGATGAAGACAGTGGTAACCTGGGCAGTCAGAGCCCAAACTGTGTGAGAGGAACAGCATGAGGCTGTGACTCTTGTCCTCCCTCCTCAGGTCAGCCAGCTGCTCGCTTAAAGAGAAAACGTAAGCCTGAGAGAAGCCCAGCCTCAGAATGCTGGGGACTGGTGCAGAAGCCTCAAGAATTTACTCTGCTTCAGTAAGTGCTTTCCCTCTATAAACCTTTATTATTGTTGTTGTTTAGTCACTAAGTCGTGTCCAATTCTTTGTGACCCCATGGACTGTAGCCCGCCAGGCTCCTCTGTCCATGGGATTTTCCAGCAAGAATACTGGAGTGGGGTGCCATTTTCTTCTCCAGGGGATCTTCCCAACCCTGGGACTGAACCCACAACTCCTACATTGGCAGGTGGATTTTTTTAACCACTGAAACACCAGGGAAGCTATAAACCTTTATGCCTGTCCAAAAGAAACAGAATGCAAGCCAAAATTTTTGAGTAGCTATGTTAAAAAAAATAAAGAGAAATGAAATTAATATTATGATGAACTCAGTACAGTCAAAATATCACAAAATGCAATCAACATAAACATATAAATAGATATTTTGCCTTTGGGGGGTACTAGGTCTTGGAAATCTGCTCACCTGCACACTACTCACTGCACACCTCAACCTCAATTCAGACTGGTGACCTTTCAAGAACCTAGCAGCCACATGTGGGCAGTGACTACTGGCCCAGGCTGTGCAGATCTAGGATACGGAACCATGCCTTTTGTCACTAGTGGAAAAAGCACAGCGTAGAAGCTGGCCTAGACTTGTACACAAAGGGGTGCTTGCTTCAAGAATCTTCTGGCAAAGCAGAAAGGGAAGTTCCCATCTGTGAATCCTACTTTACTTACATACCCTGGATTCAGTGACAATGCAGGGGACTGGGTTCAGAAGCACATTCTTTGGAAGCATCATGCTCTGCCTCGTTCTTTCAGCATCCATGGGCTATGTATGCTCCTCCCCAGCCCATTCCCCTGTCCCCAGTAATCAGATACAGACCTCTGCTCCAAAGCTGGATGGAATGAAACTGTCCAGAGGCAGGCAAAAGCGATGATTACTAGACCACTAACCAGATAGTCAAGAAAGGAATAAGGGACTTCCCTAATGGCACAGTGGTAAAGAAATCCACCTGCTGGGCCGCCCCGCCCCCGCCAGCCGGGGTGCTCTAGGTGCCGCGCGGAGACCCTCTGCACCCGTGCGAACATGGCGCTGCAAGCGGTGCGGAGCGTGCGGGCCGCAGTCGGCAGCCTGCGCGCCATCTCGGCACCCAGCGCGCCCTGCTCGCCGCGGCCCTGGGGACTGCGGGCGGGTGCCGTACGGGCACTGCGCACCGGCCCTGCTCTGCTGTCGGTGCGGAAATTCACAGAAAAACACGAATGGGTAACAACAGAAAACGGTGTTGGAACAGTGGGAATCAGCAATTTTGCACAGGAAGCTTTGGGAGATGTTGTTTACTGTAGTCTGCCTGAAGTTGGGACAAAGTTGAATAAACAAGAGGAGTTTGGTGCTTTGGAAAGTGTGAAAGCTGCTAGTGAACTCTATTCCCCTCTATCAGGAGAAGTAACAGAAATTAATAAAGCTCTAGCAGAAAATCCAGGACCTGTCAACAAGTCTTGTTATGAAGATGGTTGGCTGATCAAGATGACACTCAGTAACCCTTCAGAACTAGATGAACTAATGAGTGAAGAAGCATATGAAAAATACATAAAATCTATTGAGGAATGAAAATGGAACCCCTAAACTACTTTGAAACAACTTAATCTAGCATAGTTGTCTTAAATTAGTGGTGGATAGATATTTAAAAAGCAACTTTTAGCAAAAGAAACTACTTGTAACAATGTTTCCTGAAGAAAATACCCCTTAACTTTCTAATGCCTTCAAATAAATACTGTATCTTTTCCACAGCATCCTGTGATTTTTAGGCTAGGGTCCAGTTATACTATTCAGAATTCCTGAAATTATCTCTGATAAAACTAATTACAAAAATTATGTAATTCAAGGATAACATGGTTATCTTATACCTTATATGACATTGTAACTTGCTTACAGCTATCCTTGGATTTGGGTCAAAATGATCTTCCCACTAGAAATAACTGGCAGTGGAGAAAAGTTTGTTAGTTGTATAGTGTCCAGTGAAGAATATTACTGTCTTAACTTTGCAATATACTGTGTTTGCTGGTGCTATTTTTATACAGTGAAGCAACAGCCTTGCAGGAGAATAAACAATTTAATAATAAAAAAAAAAAAAAGAAATCCACCTGCTAATGCAGGGCACCAGGGTTCAATCCCTGGCCCAGGAATATCCTGCATGCTACAGGGCAGATAAGCCTGTGTGCAACCACCGAGCCTTGGGTCTTGAGCCCGCGCTCCACAGTAACACGGTAAGACAGGTCACCGCAGCGAGAAGCCCAAGCACCACAATGAAGACCAAGCGCAACAAAAGGTCAATAAATGATTTTTAAAAACATATGAAGAAAAGAAAACTTCAAACCACTATATATATATAAAAACAAGACAAAGAACTCAATTAAATTTTTTTTAAAAAGGAATGAGGCTGTAAAAGAATAAAAAGATCACATTTACGGTATTTCATCAAATCTAAGACAGCATCAATCCTGAGACTAGAGAGATGTTAAAGTGCAAAACAATCGTGCATCTGAGCACTGACGCAAGGCAGCACAGGCCTACATGGTTTCAGTGAGCGTCACAGACACCGCGTTCTTCACACACGGAAGCTTCATGGCGCCCCTTCACTGAGCAAGTCGACCGGCAACATTTGTCCAACAGCACCTCTTCAGCGGGTGTCACATTTTGGTAATTCTTGCTGATTTTCAAGGTTTTTCACGTAATAATAACATATGACAAGATATAATAATATCTGTATGGCGATCTGTGATGCTCTACTGTAACTGTTTTTTTGTGGGGGGCACCACCAACTGCACCCACATAAGACTGGGAACCTGCGTTCTGACTGCTCCCCCAACTGGTCGTCCTGCCTCTCTCCCTCCCCTTGGGCCTGCCTGTTCGCTGAGACACAGTAATACTGAAATTTAGGCCAATTAATAACCCTACAATGGCCTCTAAGTGTCCCAGTTAAAGGAAGAATCACGGTCTCTCATTTTAAATCAAAAGCTAGAAATGACTAAGCTTAGTGAGGAAAGCACGCTGAAAGTTGAGACAGGCCGGAAGTTAGGCCTCGTGCACCGAACAGCCAAGTCATGAGAGGAAAGGATCAGTTCTTGAAGGAAATTAAAAGAGCTACTGCCTCAAAATAAACACAAACAAGCATATAAATAAACGCACTACTCAGAGGGCAAGAGGAGCAGGAGACGACAAGGATGAGATGGTTGGATGGCATCACTGGCTCAGTGGACATGAGTGTGAGCAAACTCCGGGAGATGGTGAAGAACAGGAAGGCCCAGTGTGTTGCAGTCCACGGGGTCACAAAGACTCAGACACGACTGAGCAACTGAACAACTCAATGAACACGTGAATGATAAGAAAACCTAACGGCCTTATTGCTGATATGGACAAAGTCTGGAGAGAAGATCAAACCGCCACAATGTTCCCTTAAGCCAAAGCAAGCCCTAACCTGTTGTCAATTCTATCAAGGCTGGGACAGGTGAAGAAGCTATAGATGAAAATTTTGAAGTTAGCAGAGACCAGTTCATGAAGTTTAAGGAGAGCTGACTCCATAACATAGAAAGTATAAGGTGAAGCAGCAAGTGCTGATGTAGAAGCTGTAGCAAGTTATCCAAAAGGGCTAGCTCAGATCATTAATGAAGGTCGCTACACTAAAAAACAGATGTTCAGTGTAGACGAAACAGCCTTCTATTGGAAGAAGATACCATGTAGAGCTTCACAGTCAGAGAGGAGAGGTCAAGACCTGGTTTCAAAGTGTCAAAGGATAGGCTGATCCTCTTGTCAGGGGCTAATGCAGTTAGCAGGTGACTTCAGGTTGAAAGCAGTACTCATTAACCATTCCAAAAATCCTAGGGCCTATGCAAATTACACTAAATCTTCTCTGCCTGTGCTCTACAAATGGAATACTAAAGCCTGAATGACAACACATCTTTCTACAATGTGGTTTACTGAATTTTTTAAGCCCACTGTTGAGACCTACTGCTCAGAAAAAAGATTCTTTTCAAAGTAATTCTGCTCACTAACAATGCATCTGGTCACCGAAGAGCTCTGATGGAGATGTCCAACAAGGTGAATGTTATTTTCATGCCTACTAACACATCATCATACTGCGGCCCACAGATCAAGGAGTAATTTCAACTTTCAAGTCTTATTATTTAACAACTACATTTCACAAGGCCATAGCTGTCATAGATAAGATTCCTCCAATGGATCTGGGCAAAGTCAACTGAAAATCTTCTGGAAAGCATTCCCCACTCAAGAAGCTATTAAGAACATTCATGATTCATGAAAAGAGTCAAAACATCAACACTAACAGGAGTTTGGAAGAAGCTGATTCCAACCTTCACGGATGACTTT